ATTGTGCTGGTCTGATCCACAGCTACAGGGAGTGCTCGTTTGACATTACCGTTGCTAAAGGAGGTTTGACCGGTTTTAGGTTTTCTACTAGCACTGAATATGTTACTGGTATGTTCAGTAAAGACAAAGGAGATTGTAACTGTTTGTTTGTCATTAGCTAAAGCATACCGTGTTTGTGTATACTTGTGACATAGATGGAGGTCAGATCACATTTTCTGACCATTTAATTCAGAGATACATTCCAAAGGGTTCATATTCTTCTTCCCACCACTGTATTTTATATGAAAGTGCAGAAAAGTCATCAGCGTCTCAAATGATGTTCATTTGGCAAAGATGCAAGCGTGAAAACATATACACCATGTCTCCATATAAGGTGAAACTGATTTACTATTCTTAATCAATCTCTTCACTTTCCAACAACATTGGGCATAGTTTAATGAATGGCAGTACAAAAGGTATCTATTAATGCATCAGTAATCATATTAAAATGACATAATACATAGTAATAATAGGCCTTTAACTCCGGTTAACACTTCTACTGCAGGCTACGCTTTGACAGAGCCACTGTCTGCACAATCCAGCACTAGTGATGTGGTATATTTACACTGTGGACTGAGCAATGCAGTAAGTAAACACACAGGTGACACCTGTGCACCCGCAGCATCTGACTGTTCATTTTCTATGTTAAAGCCACGTGACCGTGGTTTGCAGGTAAACACGTACCCCAATGTTTATTTAAATATTCAGCAGTCCTGTGGCCATTGTAGCGGTGTAGGAGGGACATTTGTTTTTGACATAATGGAAATAGCAGCAGGTCACGTGACTCGGGGATATATCAGCGCAGGAGGACAACACAGACCGGGAGACAGCAGCGAAGTGCGCGTCGGAGCTGCTCTCGGTCCAGCTCCTGGCTTCGTCTTTGTGCGACTAAGCTACCTTTTACTGTATACAGTCATTTCTTTCCAACTTCAGCTACAGTGATAGCTAAGTTTGGAAAGGGGAAAAGGGGAGAAACGTCGTGTCCTTTTGTCTCTTTTGTGTCCGCCGGGGTCGACCTGCTTTGCGCTACACAAAAGAGGAGATAACGCAGGCTGTGTCTGAGCTACATTTATAAAAACTGCCGTTTGGATAGCTTTAAAATGGACAACGCTGGACCTAAGAAGACCTGCTGTGGTGGGTTATTTTCATTGCATCAAATGACCAAATGTTTCCCACATCAATGGACAAAACAAAGGCTTGTATGACCGGCCAGCTGTGTAATGTCATGAATTCATCCTGACAGATAAATATCTGCTTTACAGAATCAGTCCGAGAATTCTTCACCTCGGCCAAGTTCCTTATTTACATGGGCCATGCTATGTCTACATGGGTAAGTGAACCAATGAATCAGTATTGTTATTGTGCATGTTGATCACGATGACAGATGCATCTCTAGATCTAATAGAACATGAATGCGTTCAATAGGAGCCTATATAACTGTCATTACAGTGCACAGGCTGCAGCTCCCAGGTCCAATGGCTCTCAGAGGCCACTCAGAGGGCTCTCATCAATTATGCAGCTCTTAAACCAAACTAACTACACGCCCTGACATGCACCTCTTGAAATATTAACCCTTACAATTTGATTTTCCAGGGTGACCGCATGTGGAACTTTGCTGTGGCTGTTTTCCTGGTAGAGCTCTATGGGAACAGCCTGCTGCTCACCGCTGTGTACGGGCTGGTGGTGGCCGGCTCTGTGCTGGTGCTGGGGGCCATCATCGGGGACTGGGTGGACAGAAACCCCAGACTGAAAGGTAGGACAGCACACAGAGGATTGTCATATAGCACAGGTTTGTCATGAATAAAATGCTGAAAATCTTGAAAATAGATTTTCCTTCCAAAGTGTTGCATGCAATGGCCACACATGCACTCACATGCAGTTCTCACTTTGACAGTTAAATGCTCCTGGTATGAAGGTTTATTCGGAGGAATTTGGCACCATTACAGTAAATTGGAAGGGGTGGGGGTGTATCCAACCGTCTTGTGGAAACATTCTAATGAGCTAGGCTATCAGACAGAAATCTGTTGTCTTTGATCAGATTTCTGTCCCTAATGCCGGTCGTGGTGTTTCCACAGTGGCCCGGACTTCGCTGGTCATCCAGAACAGTTGCGTCATCTTGTGTGGGCTCCTCCTGATGGCTGTTTTCCAATTCAGAGAGCAGCTTGTGGAGCTCTACAATGGATGGATTCTGGTAAGTTCCCCCCTCTGTGCCGTCTCTGTTCCAGTATGATCAGATGCCTTTCACCTAAAGCATTTTTACCCTCAAGTGCAGCACTCTGACCCCGGGAATGAAACGTGCTGACTGTTACTGATATGGACTGCAATGTCAGTGTGATTTATGACCACTGAAGCAGCTTTAACAGATGAGTGTCATGAATGCAGCTCACTCCCAGATCACCTCTGGCTGTTCCACTAACTTAACTTGACATAGTAGGTTAGGAGCGAGTTCATGTTTTCAGCAGAATATTATTTCCTTCACAAATCAAACAACTTGTCCTCTGATTTCATGATATCCAGCATATTGTTCTTATAGTTACAATGATTCATTTGTGATTTTGAATATGTAATCTGCAGTCATCAGTAAACAAAGCTTGAGGTAATTACATACACGTCTGCAGAATCTTCTGCAAGGAGCGAAGTTCGTGTCCGAGTTTTCCAAGGAGCTTGGTTGCACTTGTTGAGCTATGGAGGTGACTTTGGTCGTGCATGAGAGTGTCAGTGTGTGTGGGGGTGGAGAGAGCTTAGTGAAACAGGAGATCGTGGTGAAGGCTGTGTAGTCAGCAAGTTCTTCAAGGCCGATCACATGATTGACAGGGAGAAATGTGGTCTGGTCCGCTGAAGAATTTTTGCTATTCTGACCAGATGTCAGATGTTAAAACGTACACACACAGCATCAGAAACGAGCCTGTGTGTTATGGCAGTGAGCCATTTCATACACAGAATGTACTTTTCTCTACACAAAATATTTGTTTACAAAGCATGACGGGATTAGGTTTCAGCCAATAAAGGTGCTTGTTGTTGTTGAATTTCACTAAATATTGGCAATATAATGTGTAATACAGCAAACCCGGTATGTCTTGGTGTCATCTAAATAATAAGACTGGTGTTATTTTATGTTTTCCTTAACATCAACAAACCCCATGACAAGACCAAAGCCAACAGCATGTTAGTCTGTCTTCCCTGTTTATCAGTCACAAATATTCACTTTTATATTTTGAAAATGTTACTGAATTTGGAGTAAAAAGTGCATTTGTTGGAGGCTATTTTCAGCTGTGGATTAATACACATTTGTGGTAGTTCAGTGGTCCCCACCATGGGAAGACAAACCTAAGGGGCCCCAAGATGGTTAAAGAAAAAAGAAAGAAAAGCTCTTTATTTTTGTTCAGTAATAGTTTTCAGACTCTTCTTAAATCTTTACCTTTTTCTTATAAACATGGACAGTTTCACCTCTGCAGCCTCTAAGAATCCTTAAAAGAAAGAGAAAAACACTTTTGGTTTGGACCGCTTACAGTGAATGTCACCATACTCTGACAAAGGGTCACACAGTAGATATATCGAAGGGTCACAAGCCAAAAAGGTTGGGCACCACAGCTCTAGTGAGAATTTGGCAGTGACGGAGTTGAAGTAATCTACAGTGTGTGTGTGATTAATGTGTTTTAAATCGTTTTTTACAACAATGGAGCTCTTTGGCACAGAGGAATAGGATATGTCAGACTTCTGATACAAAATACTTCATAGCCAGATCATTGACGTGGTCTTGTCGTAAGAAAATATATATTACCACCTGGGCCTTTGATGATCTAAACTAGATAATGACAGAAATAACCATTAAAAATGTCAAAATAAAATTCTTTCCTTTTGTTTTTCAGACCACTTGCTACATTCTGGTCATCACCATCGCCAACATCGCCAACCTGGCCAGCACGGCTACATCCATCACCATCCAGCGGGACTGGGTTGTGGTTGTGGCAGGCCAGGACAGCAGCAAGTTGGCAGGTCCGTGTTTCTTGCCCGTTGCTGGCTTAGCATCGACTGGAGGCCTCATGTGACCTGTTATCAAGATCTGTTCTGTGGGGTATACTTTGAACCTTGAATGCTGAGTCACTATCTCTTACCCTCAGTTTCCCCCTGAGTGTTATAAGCTATTTGAAAGACTGGGTCACATGGTGGTAAACACTCTCAGTACTTATGTATGAATGTAGCCACTGTCAATCTGCCATGCTAAAGCTGTTACTCTACTACAATTATATGTGTGCATAAAACCTACCATAAATATGATAATGGGCCGCTGTTTGAACACATTTCTTATCAGATCTGCCACTTGATACTGACCTATGTCTCCTTTCACTCTCGTATCAAACAGACATGAATGCCACAGTGCGGATCATCGACCAGCTGACCAACATTCTGGCCCCCATGCTGGTGGGCCAGATAATGGCCTTTGGTTCTCATTTCATTGGCTGTGGCTTCATCTCTGGCTGGAACCTGTGCTCCATGTGTCTGGAGTACGCACTGCTGTTGAAGGTCTACAAGTCGACACCAGCGTTGGCTGTGAAAGCCGGGCAAAAGGAACAGGAGCTCAAACAGCTCAGCCCCTCCAAAGGTAGCTACAACAACCTTGTGGTTACATGACCTCAAGCAAAAATCCTGGTAGAAGGTTATAATTGTGTTTGATTTTGGTAATAGGCAGCAGCTTAGTTAACTGAGGAGTTCTTGGCCTGGTCAGTGTTCTGTGCTGAATATAACCCTCTGCTTTTTGTAGACGTGGAGCGTGACCAGAGTCCTGAGGAGTTTTCTCAGCCACTGATGAATGAAGCCTCAGTGGTGGCGAAGCCCGACTCTCCCAAGCAGCACGGCTGTTGCTACCAGGTGACAGAACTCTTGCGCACTCTCAGAGCCGGCTGGGTGGCCTACTACAATCAGAACATCTTCTTTGCTGGCATGTCCCTGGCTTTCCTCTACATGACGGTGCTGGGCTTCGACTGCATCACCACAGGCTATGCCTACACGCAGGGCCTCAACGGCTCGGTGCTCAGCCTGCTGATGGGAGCCTCGGCTGTGTCAGGCATCTGTGGCACTGTCGCCTTCACTTGGATTCGCAAGAAGTGTGGCCTGATCCGTACAGGCTTTATCGCAGGCACGGCTCAGCTGTCCTGCCTCACGCTGTGTGTCGCGTCCGTCTTTGCTCCCGGGAGCCCCTTCGACCTCAGCGTCTCACCCTTCCAGGACCTGTACGAACACTTGATCGGAGGGAAGACCCTGCCCGAGGCCGAGTACAGCCTCACCACCGTCCACACCGGTGGAAATGCCACCACTGCTGCACCGACCGAAGAGCTGCCACCTCTGCAGTCCTACATGTCTGTTAGCCTGCTGTTTGCTGGAGTCATTGCTGCTAGAGTTGGTGAGTAAAGTGAAGCAGATCTGGAACAGAGAAGACACACCAAAGTGCAAATTATCCTTGACCGCCACTGAAGAAAACAATGTATAGTTTAAGCTGAGGTTTGTTCATTTTATTTGAAGGAAATTAGAGTGTATAGTTTTTACAGTGTCCATGCTTTGCTGGCATGTTAACTTCCTTTCATAAAATTTTAAAAGGCTGTTTTCCAATTTATGACTTCCTAAAATGAGTCAGACAGATTGACACCGGAATTTCTCACTGGATCTCTGTAAAATTGCCACAGACACTAGAGCAGTATTTGCAACCTTTGATACCAATTACTGTATACGAGCCTTGTAATTGCTACTAAAAGTACTGCTGAGTTCTAAAATTGTTTTAATGTGGCTGTAAAAAAAAACAAAAACAAACATCAGGACTGACTGTTGACCTCTGTCTTACAGGCCTGTGGTCTTTTGACCTGTCAGTCACCCAGCTCATCCAAGAGAATGTGATCGAGTCGGAGCGAGGTGTGATCAATGGCGTCCAGAACTCCATGAATTACCTCTTAGACCTGCTGCACTTCATCATGGTGATTCTGGCTCCAAACCCAGAGGCCTTTGGCCTGTTGGTCATCATCTCTGTCTCCTTCGTAGCAATGGGCCATGTCATGTACTTCTGTTTTGCCTTTAAGAGCCTGGGAAGCCGTCTCTTCCTCTGCTGCTCACCAGAGCAGAAGGTGGAGACAGTAGACAGCCCCTCACTTCCTGCCATCGTCTAACCCCATTAAAGAGACTCTGTCCTGGGTACATATTTCTCAAGCCTTACCCTATCCCTGCATCTTTTTTTTTTATCTAACTAACATCATAGCTTGTAGCTCACAGAATGCTAAAGCTAGCAATAACTACAGAAAGCTAACTTAACTTGCTTTGTATAGCTATTAGTAAAGTATTAATCATTAGAAGGAGGTGGGTAGAAAGCTTCTAGTCAGGGAAAGCAAATGCATAGTAAACTTTAGATAAGGTAGGGTTTCATGTGAGATCCTGAGCCTTTCGTTGACGGGTCCCGGTTTCTTAACAAATACATACAATGTCAGGCAAGGAGCCATCACTTCTGGGCTTGTGACGCTCTTGTTAATAAAATCAGGGGACAAGCTACAGGAAAATCAGCCTGGGTCAAGCTGTGAAGGTACCTCTGCTAACAGCACAAAATGAGAGCCGTGTTGCATGGAAGCAGACACCAAGGCTTGAACTGGGAGGGCAACTGTCTCAAATACAGAACATCCCGTTTTTTGGCGCTTCACTGATCCTATAGCCGTGTCTGTTAGCCGTTCTCTGGTAGCCTAGTCTTGGTTGTGTCAGTTTGTGGATGTCTTCCTCCAGAAGGGGTGGATACTTGTCCTTTGACCAAACACAAAACTGGGATGTAGTCTCTTTAATACATGGCTGTCGGTTAAGGGTTACGTATGCAATTAACCATATTTATTCAGGAAATGTGGACGGCGGTTTTTATAGTTATTGTATTATCAGCATTGTGTTGAATACTCATGATTGTTCCATAAGAAACAAGTCCTATGCACCTTTTCTCAATAGTTATCTCAATTACCAAAGTCAAAGTCCATTTGTGGGATAAGAGGAAGTGAGGGAAACGACTTATCGCAACAAATTTCTATATCAGGTGACAGTAGTTGTGTATGTTCTCTAATGCTTTGTGCAAGAGTATATCAGAATATTTCTAACCCACTCTGAGATTCTACGCAGATAGTGTTTTTCTGGTAGCTTAACATCGGTAGTTTCATTTTGAATCTTTGAACTTTTATGTTTGAGCTCTGCAGTGGTTTCTCAGTCATGATTGTTGTTACATGGGCACTTTAAGTGTTTGACATCTGTCATTACACCCAACGAATGATCAGACATATGATCAATATTTTTTGCACAAGGCTGAAGTCCCAACACCCCCAGCACCCCCTTGCACATACTTAGTTCAATCACTTATAGTCTCACTCTCAAAAAGGCACATATTGCAAAACCAAATGTTCATGTGAAAAAGTGCAAAAAATGAAAACACACACACACACACACAGTATATACCTCAGATAGCCCTGTTTCCTCGAGAACTGCCAGAGAGCTTAGTCAGCACCCCTTATCTGCTCTCGGTCTACAGCTCCAGGCTGCCGACAAACTCTGGACCTGAACTCAGTCAGGGCTTTTCTTTTCAAGCTTCAACAGTGGAGGAAGCATTTTACTCATGTCAAAGTTTTGTCTGATGTCTTGTGTTGATATCTTTAGCTTTATAGTACTAGTGTAGAAAATGTATTTAATAGTAGCTTTTGTGTGCTGCCTTTCCTATGAAGTGATTTAACAGATTAAGCATTGTCTTTGTTAGTGTCTCCAAAAACAGTTTGAAATCACAGACACTGGGAAAATAGCTTTGCTTTTCTAGATTCTGAGCAACAAATATTGGTAGCTATAACTAATGAAGCTGTAACTGATTCCTTTCCACCTTCATTAATTTCTTTATTGTCAACTTGCCTTGACTTGTTAAACACACATGGCTACTAGCCGCACCCTGCCCATGAAAAAGCTAGTGAGCGTAGCCAAGGTTTGGGTAACAGTGGGGGGCAGGGTGCTATTTGGGTTGGAAACAGAGGTGGCCACACCAGATGTAGGAGTACAGACAACCACTTTTTAGCTTTGCATTCCTATGCGGCCTGGCAGAAGAAGTGGTGAACCAGGATGTCTGCAGGTGTGCCATGACCTGCACACTCACTGGGAATGGAGCTTTTTGGTGCATTTTTGTTTTCCACCCACATTTACTGTAACCTCATACTCAAGTCTGCTGATTCAGGAATATCACACCTGGCTGTAAACGCTATATTTTTTTAATGTAAATATCATTAGTCAGTCTGTTAAACTGTACGTAACTATACAATTAGAAAATGAAAAAAATTCATTGTGTAAACTGTGTCATGCTGTTTGTCTGAAAACTTTTTTTTACCTAGTGTAACCAATATTTTGTGTCAAATTAAGGATTCCTAATGATTTTTTGAATTTGTGTATAAAGCAGTTCCTGCATTTTCTTCATTTTATTTGAATACATCTGAATTATACTGCGTTAATCTGACTATATATATATATATATATTGCAATAGAAAGAACATTAAATCATAAGATTCCATTTCATTTTTATGTAATAACCACACTCCATTGGTACTGCTTGTATTGCATGAGGTCTAGTAAATAAAGAAAACCTTTACAATCCCGTCTGTACAGTCATGTCTCTGTCTAAATTCCTACACTCACCTCTTTGTTTCCAACTAACTAACTACACACTATAAAACATGGCTTTCCATTTGGCTACTTAAACTATCTTGCCTGTGTGTGGCTGTATATGGCCCTGTCTTTTGAAGTGACTCCTCTTCCTGGCTTTTAGATCTAATCTCTGTTCCTACTCCCCAATAAACTCTAGCTCCCCCGTCCCATCAGCCAGGTGGTGGTAATAAAACAACTGTGGACCCTCTTTGCCAAAGCTATTAACCTAAAATTCTGTGTTTTAATGACCCAGTCTCCCTTGATGTTAAACAGTACCCCAGTTGGCTAACACAATAAGTACTAGCCAAGAATTCAATGAACACATAGAATGATATACTCAACTATGTTAACATAATTGTAACATACAAGTTTGCTAATTGAAACGCATCACGTGACCACTCATTTAAGGCGCGAGCCCAAGCCCGAGCCCGAGCCCGGCCTGAGTAAAAATGATAGAAATTAAGCCCAACCCATCGGGTACCCGTCGGGTGTCTGACGGTCGGGTCGGGTTCCGGCTAAGAATTACAGCTCTAAGTGTGTATCATGACTATACAGATTTTGGGCTTGGCTGGTGCTGTGTGAGGTGAAATACAACAGAAGACTTTGCTTTTACTCCCCAGAATCCCCTTTTTTTCAGGGGGTCTGACTAATGTTAAGCTGAGCTGGATGATTTTGACTTGCAAGGCTGCTGAAAAGACAAAAAGTGACCTGGTTTTGCACAATACAGGAAACCGAAAGGCTTCGTCTTATAGTGGACTCTGACTCAGCATCCACACAATTAACATGGGCTGGTTTTGTTTAGAATAAACCTACAACTTTGCCTCTAAAATCTATTTTCAACACAACTGGCCAAGATGGAAACAGCTAATGTTGCAGCTTCAAATCCATTTTTAATGAAAAAGAATGACTGAAACAAATAACTGACTAGAGTCTGACAGAGCGGTGAACAGCAGCCTGTTTGTGGTCAGACAATGTGGACACCATCTCCTCCCAGCAGCCCACAGCTTTAGATTCTGAACCAGAAACTCAGCAGAGAGGACATCTGAATCAGGCTGAGCTTGAAAATCCATTCCTTGATCTAGACTGTGTAGATTCATGACTGGATTAAATAAAACCCATAAAATCACACTTGCCACAAGCCTTTTTGAACTGTGAGAGCAACAGGTGCAGTTGTTTGCTGAATCCATCAGCATCCAGTAAGTCTCTGTGAGTCGCTGTAATCTCAGTCCCAGCATCGGATTTTGATTCAGATACCTTGGTTTTGATTCAGATACCTTGGTTTGGTGCCAGGAAGTTAGCAAACAATATTCAGAGGCAAAACCAAACTGAGGGAAGGCGTTTAGAAATTGTATTCAACTTGTTGTGCTGCAGAAAAATGGAGCTCGGAGTGTTTGGTAAGGTCCAGAGCTTTTATTTAAGAAAAACGGTTTGTATTAATGGTTATTTAACTCATTATCGTTTGCTTTCTCCTGCTACAGGTGTGTGAGCCGAAATACACACAAGAGGTTTGTTTGTAGCAGCTCGGCTGCATTGAGGAAGTGAATGTCCAGTTTATGTGGTTCAGAGAAAAGTTTATTTATTTAAAGAAAGTTGGAAAAACGACAAGAAGACACCGGGTCGAACTGGTTTGGATTCACCATGGCACACACACAACATCTGTGTTTGTTTAGCAAACTCTCTCTTTGTCTGCACATCTGTCTTTGTCCCATTCATTTGAACGGGAAAAATTTGTTGAAAAAGGAATATTTTAAAACGTATACAGGTTATAAAAAATTTTGATATTTGGTTTTTCTAACTGAAAGTATGCTGGAGTTAAGTGCCGAAAACCAGACGGAATAAATTGGAATAATAAAGATTTGGCTGCTGACTCAGCATCCACACAATTCTACATCTTATCATTGATATGCACTTAATGAAACACAGGCCATATTAGGAGCTAGTACCACTTTTGGAGGTTTACATAACACCAGATATCAGTGCAGTGCTGATCACACACAACCCTAAATGAATACAGTTGCACATTTTTGAGTCTTTAGGTACTCGTCAGATATTCTGGCACACCGTCAAACATGGCTTAAAGAAATATCTCACAGTTTAACTTCTTTAATTTTATGTCTTACAGAGCTTTATTACTTTTAAAACAACAGTAATAAAAGGCCAAGGTGTACAAATCTGCATTAGGATTATTACTCCACATTTAAGTGAGTTGATTTTTAAATGCAGCCCACTTTTATTTGTTCATGCTTTAATTGGAAAAACATCCTTTTTTATGCCTTTTACATTTACATTTCTACAAATATTGTTTGTTGCTGCTTCTCCATGTTACACTCGGAGGAAGAATGTAAAAGTAAAGGCGACTGTAAAACTGATCCATGGTTATTTTGGTCCTACTTACAGAGAAGGTAAAGCTCATCACCACCTAGATGAGGCTGGATTTTGTTTCATAGTTTCTCAATCTGTTTCTATCCCAGTTCATACCTAGTCAGTAAAAGAGACAGATAAAGTGTAGGATTTGATAAAAATATATAGGTGACCCTTTTCCTTCACCCAAACTCCTGTACTGTACAGCCTTGATGTCTGACTAATGCAGAAAAAGGTATGACAGCTCTGTCGGTGGCGGTGGGAGCTCTCTGAGCTCCTGACAGAAAGGAACTGAAAAACACAGAGGGAAGTGTGCCATCTTATCCAAGCCTGGGAACTCAACTTTCTTCTTCTTACACAGCTTACTCAGGGCTTTGGGACTTGTTACAAGTCAGCCCAGAACTTGACAGCACCAACAATGTGCCATTGAAAGGCCCCGGTCACCGTAGGAAAATACACTATTTCAAAGAAAACAACCAGCAACTGTAAAATCAGATCTGACCCAGGCAAACTGTTAATTAACTGAAACTATGTCATCGCTACGCATTTTGTTTTTTAAAAGCAACAGGCTGGCTAAGTGCGTAACAGTTCACTAACAACCTTCACCAACCGGCCACTTAAAGGCCAACACGGTTTCTTATTCATTTTCAGTAAAGTAGAAAAAAAAAAGCAATTACACGTGCACGTGGACGCATCAAGCAAACTGTTCACTCTGTACTTGGTGTGTTTCTTTTAAGCTTGTTAATGGTGGGTTTTTTTTGACAAAGACAAGAAAAAAAACTAATACCATAAGCATTTAATCTCTTTTCTATTCCAAAGTAATTGTTTTGTATCAAGTGAAATGATCCAAGGTGTGTAAATCAAGGCACTTGGATAATCCTTGATCTGGAAGATCCAGGTGTATTTGATGCAATATGCTTTGAAGACCAGTGATTTCCAATTAGATGTACTTGTTTATTTTAAAAAAGGTTTACTATATTGTCACAATAACCATGAATTAAACCTGCACTGCCATTTAACCACCAGGTGTACACACTAGACTGTACACCAGCACCATCATGCCAAGAACTGCACAGATGCTTCTCTGCTCCCGTTTCACAAAGATGATGAGGAAGACTGCAGATAAATGTAGAAGTCCTACAGAGCTCCTGTGTGCTTGTGCGTGGATCAGCAGAATGGTGTTTGTTTTGATTAGTTTATCATGTGAAAAGAGAATGGGGAAGTGATGTAATGTCACAAACTACAGATTTCATGTTGCACACTTGGTCAAACAGACCTGCATCGAAATCCTGGAGGAAAACCAGCTGCTTCTAAGACAACTGTGACCTGAGCAGAGATTTATCGTCCAACAAAACAGCAACTACAAACAAAGCGACACAGGAACGGCTGAAAAGTCAATGTTAATATTCAGGGTTGGCCGAGTCAGAATCCAGTCCAGAGTTTATGGCCAGAAAACTGCTGTTCACACACAATCCCTGCACCGCAGTCTGCTCCTGTGATTAAAGGCAGTGACTGCTGCCAACGGGACACATCCTTATGCAGTGAAATATTTGGGTTGTGTACGAACATAGAGATTCTAATTTAATGATGTAAAACAAGAAAAAACAACTCCATGTGGTGAAAACCATCTGTGTGAGTGTCTCTCTTTGGTCATGGTCATACTCCAGAATCCAGGAGGCCTGCGATCCAGCTGTGGTCAAGTTTCTTCACCCTCCTCAGCTCCCTAACCTGGGCTTTTGTCAGAGGGGGGGCTGCACACGCTGTGGCCTGGCATCCCGCTGACGCCTGCTTCGGCCTCAAGGTGCTGGACTCCATTTCCTCCTCTGAATCTTCTTCCTCTTTCTCGCTCTCCGGTTCATTCTCTGCATGTTCTTTTTCCTCCCTGAGGCCACAAACACACACGGAAATGAAAAGTTAGCATGAGTCAGCATATTTTCAGAGATAAACAAGAGGAAGGGGAAAAAAAGTGCATATTTTCCCATGTGCACTTAAGTTGCTGACACATGAATGGCCTGGACCCCGACCGCGACAGGTTATCTCACACTGGTATTATCAGACCATCATGAAGTTAATGAGGCGTTAACATTTTCCCCCAAGCAAACATTAAAAAGGGAACAGTTACCCACCGTGGCTGTACACGGTCAGTATTTACCTGGCTTTTATTGGGTTGCTGCACACTTTTAAAATCTAATTTAAAGACTTTAAAGACCTAAACAGAGGCGAAAACATTTCCACAGCAGGACAAACACACATGAACACAGGTGTAGCATGTGTAACTGTTTCATTTAAATAAGAAGAACAAATATCACATGATCATATAGGCCATGTACAAATATAGTTTAAATAAGAAGAACAAATGTCACATGATCATATAGGCCATGTACAAATAATACATAGGATCATGTGTTGTGTGTGCTTTGAAGCCAAAGCTCATTTAGAGTAAAATCACCGGGTGTAGCAGCCATTTAGAACGGTTTTGGCAACAGGTCAACAAACAAGTGTAACCACAAATACATTTCTATCAACATTGACCTTCGTCATCGCTGTAGGTCCACCTAACAAAAGTTAATCCATCCTTCCTCGTGACTGTTACACTACTCCGTTTTTGTTCAAACTAGAGATGTGAATTTCATTTTGTGATCACTTCTGAGGCTGTGGCTTGTTTCTCAGAAACCTGCGTTAACACAGTGCAATCCAACTCCCACCTCTCACATAGCTGTAACAACTGGATCTTATAATGTTGGTAACAATGGATTTATTGGAGGACTGGTATCGGGCTTTATTATTTCTATATGAGCGTACCTGTAGTCTCTGATCCAGCAGGAGCTGACCACGTCATGGCAGCCGACGACAGCTCCTGCCATACTTTTTCTGATTTCATATGAAACTCAACTGCTTCAGTTCCCATTGTCTGAAGTTTAACATTTTTCAGCTCATCTTGCAAGTTACCTCAAAATCGTTACCTGCGAGAGCTAACTATCCCCAGTACTTTTCATCTTAGAGCCTAATTTCCCTTTCTACATCTCCCCATTACTAGCTTCTTCTAACCTTTTCTGTTCATAGAAAATGCGGGAGACGGTGGAAGTATACGTCATGTGAATGCAATACATAGCACACAAAAGGCTGTAATAGAAATAGGCCACCTAGATATAGTAATATAGATAGATTTGATAAAGTATTCAGATACGTCTCTTCACAGACCTGTGGGATTACCAAATAGCTGGACAATAATTCAAAAGTCACTTGACAGCCTTACTGACCTGGAGTCTGTGACGGAAATGAGTAGAGACTGTACAAACATGGAGCAGAGCAACGAGGTGGAGGGCAGGACGTGGGCTGGGGTCTGCAGCAGCTGTTAGAAAGACAAGGATGAAGACCCATCAAACAACTACAGATGTCTTCCTCTCTAAGATTTAAATCTTAAAAGTCCAGGTCACAAATTTGAGATGCACAAACACAAACTCCTCACTCATACACACAGATGTACAATTTAGTTTTTAGCTGTCAGTCAGACAGCCTCATGTCATATATGCATGTTATATACCTGACTTGGTTTGTCAGTCAGACAGCCTCATGTCATATACCTGACTTGGGCTGACATACTAACCTCCCTAATGGCAGCGGAGCCCTTTGGCAGAGCTGTCCTCTCAGCAGACAGGCTGCTCAGTGCGTCTTCATTCTCCTGCTGCTGTTGCCGGTGTTTCCCCAGCAACAGGTAGAATGGTGTCATGGCAACGCTGTCATCAATCACAAGCTGGGGGGTTGGGAGGGAAACGGGACACGTCTCACATTAATAAAGATGAAAATAGGTCAACAGTTTTAAGAGGTGGGACAGAGGAGGTACACTATGTGTTGGCTCTGCCCAAATTCAACAAAACTGACCCCATGAATCCACATCTGCCTTGTTACCAGTTCATCAAATGTTAACCATGCACAGCGGACTGGTTTTTCGCCATGACTAACTCCCAGTGTTCATGTCAGAATGAAGCACAGAAAGCGAACGCTGGACACGGACACCAGTCCTGCTCCTGGATTGTATTTTATTAGTTGGCTGTCACAAGAACTCCAGTGTCGTCACAGCTCAGAAAAGTGCTGTGTCATGCTCACTGTGCAACACTGAGTCGCAGCCAAAGAACGCTGCAAACCCCCTACCGCTGAGCTGTGATTGGTGCACAGGTGAACTGTACCTGTTTGCTGGAAGCCATTAGTCTGTCCTCCTCCGCCTTGGTGCTGAACGTCATGAGGTCCTGCAGGAGAGGCCACACCAATCAACAGCACGAACACAACAACAGTACACAGAATGTGCCACAGTTGGTTTGTGGCGATGTCACGTTTTCCCCACTGGTACACGGTTATTAAAATTTAACAACAGTGTAATCGGCCCACAGGTACAGCCCGTGTGAAAATGGAAACCGGCCTGCTTTGTGTTCCGTTCTTTATTGTCAGTCTAACGTTACACCTTTTCCCAGGTGTGTATCCGAAGGTGGCTTTACCATGTACTGAGTGAGGAAGTAGAGCTGGGAGTGGTTGAGCCACTGGCAGCCTTCCTCACAGCTCTCCAACATCTTCTCCCTCGGGGCAAAGACAGCACGCGTCACCCTCCCTGAACACACGGCTTTATGGGAAAAGGCCGGCCGAGGCTCGCTGGGCTTAAAGACAAACACTGGAAGAGGAACAGAAGCAAAAACAACATTAACAGGGAAGTGTTTCTACATTCAGATGAAACAACGTAGCTGACAGCTTCAATGTAATGTGAGAATCAAACACTGGTATGAAGAACTAACATTATTCCACAGGACTTTGTTTATTTTACTGACAAACCAACGGTCCACATTGTTTCTACATCTAGAACTTGTTTATTCATAATAACCTCTTCACCTATCATACTATCTATAGGTGTTTTCTATTCATTGTTGTTGTAAATGTATTAGACTGCAGGCTATTAGGGGAAACAGCAACAAACATCATTTAGAAACTGTAATAAGGATACAAATCTGATCTTTAGAACGACCTGTGACGCTGTTGCTTCAGTCAGGTCAGATTTATGTTGCACTCAAGCATCATGAACTTGTTCTGTGGCACTGCTTTAATCTGATTTGCAAATAAATGTTTTCCATGTGGTTCCAATGTGGAAACTCTGATTTGGGCACCGTGTCTGATGCTTACAGTCGGTGCATCCTGCCTGACAGCAGAAGGCGGCCATGTTCTCAGAGAGGGGGTCCGCCAGCAGCAGGCTGACGTCCATCGAGGTGCTCCACTCCACTGCCAGAGAGAAACATATGATCATACACACCGCAGCTGATAAATCAGTACTGTATGTGAAGTACAAAGGTGGTCTTACAGGAGCAGGTGAGGAGGTTCCAGCAGCAGAGCAGGTTTCCAGCAGTGGTTCCCAGCAGATACTTGGAACAGCTTAGTTGTCCAAAACAAAGGTCTCTGATGGAGGGGGAAAAAAATGCCCCATTAGTTTTTCTGTGGCTGTAGAAGACCCTGAGTGCACCTCCCCAAACCACCCGGCTCACCCCACCACACATACCCCACAGGATTAGCTCCTGAAGAGCTTCCTGCTGTAGGGGATTCAAATGGGAACATGCAAGTAGGGAATGAACAGCCACCACAGAACGAGTGTCTGGCAGATAAATCAACCCGCTCAGCGTATCATGTCAAGTAGGTCTGTGACATTCCCATGAAAAAAGGTTTGTTTTCCAGTTGTATCCGTTTCCTGTCTGAAGCTACACATTAGGAGTGTGGAGCTGGTCAGGTCGGAGGTGAAGCTATTACACCAGCTCTACACATCCACAGGGCAGCTGTCTAAACAGTTGGCCATTAACATCTCCCAGTCTCCGCTGTGTTCAATTATAAAACCTTATTACTCACTAATTCCCTTTCAGTGCCCAGTTTACACAGGAAACGTCTGCTCCCTGCAGGAGCCTGTCTGACCATGACTGAGTTTTCAAGACAAGGCTGCCTGTCACTTATGTTTTATTAGTTCAGCTTACAATCTCATATGAGGGACAACAAATAAATAGCTGCCACTTACTGTTATTTACCAAGAGACCTTCTCTAGTGCTGCTATGCCATTAAAAAACTGGGACGCTATTAAAAGAAGTTGGTTTTTTATTGGCTCCTTCATTTTATGATGAATTGCAAGTCATCTGTGTTTTTCTTTCAAACATACTAAAGGCTGACTCAGGGTTTTGAGCTTCTTCCACAAAAAGTGGTACAGAAACTAGCATCAGTTATTTTTTTGTCCTCGTTGACCTGAGGCCCCATCCTCAGCAATGGGACAGCTGCCAAGCAACATTGCGAAACTCCCCCGTGCTCAGCAGACCGACAGGCGGCACTTCTTTGGCTCAGGCGGATGCATCCGATCTCTGCTGTGGAAAGGTCATTTAACGGTTCGAAGACGTCCTCCAGCTGTTTAGTAAACAGCTGAGCGGTGTTTGTGTGTGCTGTGCTTTAACTATACACCGTTACATGTTACTTGTCTTTTTGCTCCAAACACGGGTCACTGAGTCTCCACTTTCAGGAGGTAAAAGAAATGATGTGTCTACGGTGGAGCACGTCTGAAAGTACAGGAACAGCAGCTCTTGACCTCCACAACCATATCCAACGCCAAATTAAACACCTTTCCCTCAGCGCTTACGAAGGTTCACTGTGACCACCCAACCTCTTTGACAAAACATTTTTACTGGCGGCTCCTCTTCTCTGATGAAGACGAGACTGGCACTAAATAAAAAGTCAGCCCTGAAAACAAGAACCATGACTATTTTACATTTTTAGTTAACCAAAAAACTAAACAATAAGGTGAAAGCTGTGCAAAAGGACACCAACTATTATCACTTTAAAGTCTTAGTCAACAACCCGCATGCTGCTACAGTTTGGAATGACATTCAGTCATGTTCTGTCTCCGTCATCTGACGTTACCAGTTCCTCAAAGAAACCGCTTTACAAACTGCAATCATCTGCAAACTAGGAAAATGCGGGCAGCGCGCTGACATTTATAAAAAGGTCCAATAACTTCACATGAATTACCACAGATGCTACTTGCAGTTGAATATGTTCGTGTTGCTTTCAAGAGGACCGTGTACGTTTAGCTGAATGCGAGGCCGTGGTGTCCCTCCATCCAGTCATTACTGCAGCACTAGCTGCTTGGTCACTGTGGCAAATTCTGTTGGTTTTGCATGTGTTTCATGTGTTTTTCTCATTATGTGTGTGTTATAGCTGAGCAGTCTCCCTAAAATGTTTGTCAAACACTTTAGATGCCAACACCTCATTTCTACCAAAATAATGCTCTGACACCACACTGGCTAAATGTTTTACCATTTTCTGTAGAGGATCAAACTTCATCTGTATAGAAATATAGCCGACTAAAGGCCGTGTAAAGAATCTGACCAAGCATTCAGTGATTATTTTCAGCGCTGGAGTTCAACATCCAGCCACGCTGAGCGTGTGGGTATGTGTGTAGGTGTATATCCTCTGACCTTATAGCCCCTGGTGGCTGGGACAGAGTTGTCAGGAGCTCCCAGGAGGCCGGGGTCCACACAGTCACCACCTCCTGAAAGCTGATGGCCAACAGAGAACCATCGGCCGAGAAACAGCAGCGCTCAGGCACCAGCCCGTGGTAGGCTCCGACAAAATCACACGACCAGGCAGGACCTTCATCTGTCGGCCCGTTCAAGAGGAAGAACAGAGGGTCACAAACTTCATGACAAATACAACCCAATTTGGCCAAAACTAAAACTCAGTGAATGTGTTTAGAAACCCAAAGGGTGTAGCAGAGCACCAGCAAGGTCACCGGTGTCTTTCAGACTCAAATGGTCAAAAACACTCCATGACAAGGACAGTAGGACAGGCATTACACTGTGGAGTTCAGGTCAGGTATACAGCTGTTTAAAAGGATGTGCAACAACCTCTACACTGGCCTGATGCTGTCTTTTTATTGGGATCAATGGGAAATGACAGAGATACAATTTCTTTGTCAACCATACAGATAGTAAAACTGTTACTGTTCTGTTTGACCAATATTAGGCTTTAAAGGTTGAACCTCTAATGTTGAGGACAGTTACAGGTTAAATACTCAAATCCTATGAATGAAGACACCTTACACAGGGCTATGCATGGTCTTTAGACAGCATTAACTTGTAAGGATCACAAACATCACAAAAGTCAGCGTCTACAGCAACAGAGAAAGACGGCAAGTTAAACATTAATCACAGTCCATCAGCTCACCAGCTGTCAGGAACGGAGCTGGAGGGCTTACCATCTGTGTGGGCTCGTGCATCCAGCTGCCAGGCTTTGAAGTGGCCGTCCTTGCTGGTGGATACCAGCACGGTGGTCTGGCTGTCAGCGGCAAGGCCAAAGCACAAGGCTGTAATCCAGGACTCGTGGGGGGCTGAGATGGTTGTGTTCAGCACAAAACTGCAAGTCATTCAGTAAACATGTTACACTATTACTGAACTACTGTACTGGACTAAGCCTGACAAACACCGGCATATGGAAACCAGTTGGCACCTTATTAATGCAGTCTAACACAACAGCCCTTTAGTAAATACAGTTCAACAGCAGTACAAACAATCCAATACAGCTGAATCAACAGCTCTCTGAAACAGTTTGAACACAAGCTGAACGTGTTCACCTTCACGCAGACGGATTTACTGTCAGATTAGACTGTTAGTTTCAGCGAGGTGTACCTAATAAACTAATAATTGAGACATATGTACCTCTGTGTCTGTTGCTCAAATGCCCACAGTTTCAAATGAAGCTCCAACTCAGCATCTTTCTGTTTTCTTTCTTCCACTGTTGCTAGCCAGTTCCCAGAGGCGCTGAAGGCCGCCTTGACCACCTCGAACTGCTGCAGGCCCAACTCATGAATGTACTCCTGCTGCACGATGTCCAGCTGTGGGAAACACAGGAGAGAACCTCAGAATATAGCCATTAAGGCCTTGTCTGGTTTGCCTGGATTAGGTTTAGTCCATCTTATAAGGCAGAGTGCTTACATTGTACAGAAGTTTGTCTCTCTGGAGCGAGTAAAACTGGAGGTGGCCTGGTTTGCCATTCAGCACCATGGCTTTGCTGCGTGGGTCTACCATAAAGTCTGTCCTGACACTCTCTCCTGCACCAGAACACAAAAAACCGACAGTCTGTTTCTTTGTTCACATGCACAGTAACCAGGCAGGTTCAAACCTCGTTTGTTTTTTATGTATATGTCACATGAAACAGACAGAGGCAGAACAGTTCAGAAATCTGCAGTGGTTTTCCTTTTACTTCTGCCTCCTCATTCAGAATGAGGGAACTACAGAAGGTACATTATTTTCCACTAAGACAATCCGATATTAAAACACTAATTGTAAGTCTATATATTGTAGATTAAAAGCTTCTTCTATAACTGTCAAGGTCTTTCTTAGAAGCAAGACTGGTAGACATTTGTGTTATTTATGAGCCCATACAGCACGTTTATGACCGGGTGCATGTGTTGTTACCACCTATAGTCTATACTCACCTTTGACCAGGCCCTGAATGACAGCTGACACTTTTACACAGCTTTGGATTATTGTGATCTCTAGAACAAAGAACAGACAGAAGTCAGCCTTCCCTTGATACTGAAAACTAAAGTCTACATGCACATTCCACAGCTGTAGTCACTGCTTCCATTTGTGTTTGCTTTCCCTGTTCTCTCAGTCACAGACAGATGTGAGCTCTTAGGGACAAAATGCAGGAGTTAAAACAAAACCCATCAGCTGCAGTTCCACAAGCGGCCACTAGATGCTGACTCCAACCAGGCTCATACTGTGTGTTATACTTATAGACAGTTAGCTCCACTATTACTAGAACTATTCATTGCATGTCACCCAAGTGAGTAATTTATGTAAAAGCTCCTCACTGTTGTCACTGTGTGAGGTACAAAACAGCGCTCCATCAGGTGAGACGGTGATGTGCGTGATGGCAGCACCCAGACGGGGCAGGAAGTCCCGCTGGCTCTCTTGTTTGTATCGCCACTGGACGAGCACGGACTCCACACCCCCGCTCAGCAGGTTGGTGCCTGGTAAAACACTTAACCACTAGCCTACCAGGGACGGCTACAAAAGTACAATTAACCACTAGCCTACCAAGGACAGCTACAAAAGTACATAAAGAGGCAGAGGCACTGATGCCTTTTTGTTAAAGCAAAAAGTAAATAAACAAATACATACATACATTATTCTGTTGTGTTGGCATTTGACCTTTTAAACAGACGTCCTTCTAAAGGACTGATAGATATTTAGCAAAGTGAGGGAAACTCAGGTTTGATTCCACTTTATTGCCTCACATATTAGGAAAGAAACTGAATAAATGATGAAGCAACGACTGGCGTGTACCTTCTGGGGTGAAACACAGTGAGCTGACTGCATTGTGGTGCCAGTGCAGGGTGGAGTATGTGTACTCCTTCTTGTGGTTGAAGTTTCTCCTGAAAACATAAAGCGCAGTAGTAAAGTCTGACTTTCATCTGAGGAGCTGCATTCATGCACAAAAGAAAAGAAATGTGCTATTTAGTGCTATCAACACAGCGACATATGCAAAAACATATGCAAAAATGACTGAGCAGCAGATGTTCAGACTCGTTATTTAAACATCTAGGTGTGACTGCGTGCTGCTCTCACCACAAGCGAATCTTGCCATCTTCATGCCCGGTGGCTACGCAGTCATCTTTTGGGTGGCAGGCGACACAAGTGAACGTGTTCTTCCCTCCTTTCTTGTTGTCTGCTTTGAGAGGAAACCTAGCAACCGGCACAAGGACAGAGATTGATTCCACATTGTTTGATAAATCTACACTTGTGAACATTATGCGATTTATGATTCATAACTTTTGCCACACATGACAACTTCACTCTAGGTCTCAGCACCATTTTGTGTCTAATGAACTAGAAATGGCACAAAATAAAAACATTTTGTTTATTTTTTGCAGTTTAATCTTGAGATAAGTACAATTTGTGGTTTTACTTTTGAAACCATGAGGTGATCATCTTTTATTTACTTTCATCTCCACACCAGTAACTGACGCCCTGGCTCACCTGTATGACTTGTGCTTCTTGAAGAAGTAGACCTCAAGTTGCAAAGGTTTAGCTGAAACGATATATTCCCCCTGTGAGGATGATAGCACTTGGTTAGTATCACACATATGCAGGACTGTTTTGAAACCTGCTGGTGACAATTTGATTTGATTTGGAAGCTTTAGAAAGCAGAAAAAAAGAACAAGTATGTAAATTTCATGTTCTAGTTTTCCAATCTATGCTCCCCTTGGATTTTAATGGGCATTATAAAAATCGACACAATATGAATTGAAGCTATATTTAGCAAAAAGGCCAAGAAAATCATTTTCATTTGGCATCGCTATCAAGTCTAGTAACACCAAGCAGCTTTCAAACCAACATTCCTCTGATACGTCAACAAGCTAACAAAGTGGGGAACATCACTTTTGGGAATGTAGCAGTTCAACATGACAGGTGTGGTGATGTACATACCCCTCTACCAAAGGCAGAGGCCGCTGGGTTGGAGCTGACATCACTAAGCACAGCTGAAAGCTCTCGGGCCTCCACCAGCTGATCGGCACTCTGCGGGAGATCCACCGCAACCAGCTGGAACAACTCTGCATGCACACGTGGGTACACACACACACACACACACAGAGTCAAACATCAGCCTGTTACACACTCTTAACCAGTAACGCCTTAAAGGGCTTTCAGATAGAACGCGGTATGTGCTGCGCTTGCCACGGGGGTGGAGGGCGCGCACACACAAATGACACATTTGTTGGCCGCCAGTTGCCAGGTGACCAAAAAGCTTTCCAGGAGGTGGTTAGCTGACATTAACTAGTTTTTCGAGCAGTACACTTGGATGCACGATGTATCTGTCAACATGTCAGCGCAAAGCTCTGGCTTTAGTTGTACTGATGAGGAGGAGGAGACGAACTGCAGCAAAGAAGAAGAGGGTGTGGGTCTGCCAAAATCAGCTTCTCCTTCATTTCCTTTGTGGTCTGTCAGGTTCTCTGCAATTGGGCGTGTCAAGGTGTCGTCACAGAGCGCTGCACCCAAGTTGAGCTTCTTTAACTTTAGCGCAGGGACAGCATGTGTGACCTTGTGCTGCGCTCAGCTCGGCGTGGCGCGGCACAGGTATGTTCACCGCACAACACATAGAAATGAACAGGTTCGACAGCGCAGTGCCCACCGCGTTCTATCTGAAAGCCCCTTTACCCAGTGTCCACTTCACACATGTTAAAGCTCCTAGGAGGATGATTTGATCATTTTATATCTGGCGACTCCTAGTGGGAGTAAAACAAAAGACAATGTGGCAGACAGCAATACAGCAGATACACCAGTGCACAGCCTGAGCTGACCTGGAGGCACTAGAATGAAGGGGCTGAAATCAATGAGCTACAGTAGTTTTCACTCTAACCAGCTCGTTGAAGATTTCTGCCATTTAAAACTAAAACCAACAAAAGCAGTGCTTCTCATTTGTATACCAGGCTGTGTGAATAGACAGACAACCAGCATTTAAGTTAGCTTGGTTCTGCAGTTCGGTGCCATTTCAGCATGAAAACCGACTACACTCGTCTTGTAGCTCATTGAAGTGCATGTCACTAATTGCTAAGGTTTTTCTGTCAAAGCACACAGGGTGTCTGATGGATGGTGAGACAGTTAATTTATCCAACTCAAGCAACGGCTATGATTAGAATGAATGTGACACCTACCAGATCTTTTGTCACTTTGCATGGGGGTAACGATAAAGATGACTCCTTCATGGTTGGCAGATACGTACATGGAGTAAATTGGGTAACCAATGACATAAGTCTGGAAGAGATCACACAGCTCACATGTGGCAACAAGACATCAGAGAAAAAAAATAAAATAAATCAAGGTAATCATGCTGTACCTTAATAAGGATGCCATCTGTGTAGTCCCAGAGTCTGACAGTGCCATCTGCTGAGCAAGAGTAGACCTGCGACCAAACAGAAACATTAGCACAGGAGAAGAAGTGCAAAGTGAAGATGCGTAGTGAGATGAGGCTACCTGCAGGTGGTTGGAGGGTTTGGGCAGCACACCTGTCACCAGGTCAGTGTGTCCCCGCAGGTCATGGATACACTCTTCTGTGGAGGTGCTGAATACCTTCACACACTGTCCTGAGGCACATAGCAGAAACCTGCAGCAACATAAACCACCATCACTTGGTTACACAAATATACACCGATCAGGCATAACATTATGACCACCTGTACATCTGTATGCACTTCAGTGTAACACTGATGTTGTCATGATCCTATAGATTATATGTTCTTTACTGAGGTCAGAGTTAAAGGTGGTGTTTTACTGGACTACATTACATTCAGAGGTGTCTCTATATTTTTGTCCTGCCCCTTGACATACATGAGTCAGAATATTAGGAACACCTAACCTCACCAAAAACTGAAACATTTTGAGCTTCACAACACACAACACAACACAACAGTTAAGGTAGAAGTGTTGGACTGAAGTGCGTACAGATGTACAGGTGGTCATAATGTTATGCCTGATCGGTGTAGTTTACGGACCAAAGACCGTTGTGTTTTTGTTGGTAGATCATGTGTTTCAAGTTACTGATACATATAAATCTCACTGTCGCAAATGTAACACAAGCTAAGGATACAGCAGCAGAAATATCAACAGCTAGCATGCTACTGCACTGCTAAATGCTAGCACCTCAGGCCAAGAAAAACCTGAACACCTGCGAGAATTTCTTCGTCCTAATGCTGAACATTATCGGACTGAAAGAACACACTAACCTTGAATCACTGGTTATGAGAGGTTCCCTGAAATTTAATTTACTGCCACCTCGGTGAACCACGCGGATATCGCTGTGTTCAACCATGTTTTTAAAGTCAACTTTAACCTCTGGGAGCCGGCACTTCTTCTTCGTTAGTATTTATTGGCCGGTTGCCGTTTGACAGTGGAAGTGTTTTACTGCCGCCTGCTGCACTGGAGTGGAGCATCTATCCATCTCTTTCCCGAATCACATTTCCAGTTAGATACTTTTGTTGTTGTCTTCTTTGTAAATTACTGCTTTTCTTCACCATCAGATTTTTGTGTTCTTGTAGTTTTGCGTGGGTCACATGATAGAAGTTTTGTTAAGAGTTTTGTTTAAGATGTGTGCTGCATGTAATGAAGTCGTAGCTACAATCACATATAGTGGTGCGTTAGTTGATTTTAACTTATCTTTATTTTATTATGGTTTACCAGTTTTTTCGGTTTGCCTGAGCTATATGCGAGGTCCTTTCCATTTTCATTCAGGCAATGCAAAGTGGTACCTTGAAGGGTCCTGAACGCCATACATACACACGTGTGCTGTGTGCCGTTACCATGGCGGACTTACAGATGAAGCTTCTCCGCAAGAAAATTCAGAAAAGAAATGAAAAGAACAAAGAGCGTAATCTGGCCAAGAAATTGGCACAAGACGGGGAGACTGGTATGTGCAGTAAATACAAAGCAGTGCGTTGCTGTAGCTTCATTTTTGTGTTTCTGAAGTGGTTACGCACTCCGCATGCGAGGCTAGCTGCGTTAGCTCGTCATGGTATGATTTTTAATAGGGAGTTCATCGGTTAAGTGCTAACATTTTATTTTTATTTTTTACCCATGTTAGCCTATTTTCATTTGTAGTAGCGGCTTTTCGTGTATGCCATCATTGTTTGTCATACATTTGTCACGTTAAGCTTACTTCGCTAATATTTAGCTAACGTTCTGGTTAGATGCTAAACTGCATTCCGGTTCCTTGTACTTGTACATGGGTAAAGTTTAATCTAACGTTAACACGTTCAGGTTTCCAGAGTTTTCCTTTAGGATGTTAACTTTACACGGCAGCAGAGAAGCAGATAGGTTTACATTTACACAGAGTTACTTAAACGCGAATAAAGGTTTTAAATCCCTGGAAAGTGTATTCGTGACGCACAGTAATTGAGAACAGTGTTTTCTGCATCGTGTGGCCGATGTGGTAAATGAGTTGTTTGGTTTCACAGTTAACTCAAACGGGCTAGAGGAGGAACATTGTGAGGAACAAGCAAATACTTATAAGGCCGACAAGAAAAAACCGAAGAAGCAGAATGAGGTGCCAGTGGAAGGGCTTACCACAGAGACAACGACACCGAAGAAGAAAAGGAGACTCAGTGACACTACTGAATCATCACGTAAGAGCTTGAAGAGTTTGTTTGCTTGAAACTGACAAACCTCATTTTTTGTGGTAGTAAACTAAAGTGAATGTTGCAATGCTCATTTAGCTAAGAAGAAAACCAAAACGGTGAAAGAAGATGAAAAAGAGGAGGAAGAAGAAGAAGACGCAGTAGATGAAGATGGAGAACTGGGTAGTAACCAGTCAGAGGAAGCTGTGGATGATGGGGAAGAGAATGAGGAAGATCAACCTGAATTACCATCTGGCTTAACAGGTATTGAACAAACTAGAGAACTGAATCTTAAACAGCCTAATTTTATTATTTCTGAAGATCCGTTAGTTGAATCTAGAAAATATTATAATGCGTTTAAACAGGTGATGCTGTGGCTGGACAGGCTTTGTAGTGAGAAAACATAGTTTTCCTTATTGGATAAATACATCAGAGTTTTCTGCATGTTAATTGTGAAAAGTTTGAAAAGAATTTAAAAGACAAATAGAGATGCACTGAATAGTTGGCAGAGATCAGATATGGCTGGTTTTGACTGGTGACTGACTGATGATTGGAAGATACCAATTCACTTTATCTTTCCTCACTCCACTTTCATCTAAGATGGTATCTTCCAGCTTCTGACTGGCTGAACACACCTGAGCCTTAGTTGGAAAACAAGCAGGACAGGGGCCCTCGAGGACTGGAATTGACCACCGCTGGTTTAGAGGCATGATGGTCTATGTTGCGCACATAGTGGCACAAACCGTGTGCAGCACATAACATCTCGCACGCACCTTAAGTGACGCTCGCACTCCTGTCTGTACCAGGCACGTGTTCAGTGCAAGTGTGTGGTGAACAAACTGTGCCCAGAGGAGCCTACAGAAACACCCTGGAGAAGGGAAACTATGGCCAAATCTCTGGGAAACAGCATGTATATGTACAATGTATCTAACCCATGTTAAAACACAGTAAATACAAACTACACACACTTCAAAAAGAACCGTGTTCAGTAGGACTGATGTAACAGACCTTCTGTGTCCTTTACCTGTTGCACTTCGGTCTTACTTGGAGGTTTGTAGAGAAAAAAGTGAGAGAAAGATGGAAATGTAAAACTTTACAATTTATTTTTATTGCAGTTGATTTTTTCATGAAAGAAAAGTTACAAAAATCTCTGCATGTGCTATCAATTACAATTAGAAAGAGAAAATTGAAATCGGCAAGGTCACACTCAGCCAAGAAATCTGCAATTGGTGCATCTCTTTAAAAAAAATGATGTGGATGTGAAATGGACTCTTGTCTGTTTCAGGGACACACTTTATTGGGTAAATGTGATGGCAATTTAGCATAAGTGACATGGCAGCAATATGACTTGGATCATAAAGACTGTCAGTCATTTCAGCAGTGCTCAATTGTGAAATGAATGTTGTTGCATTTAAGGTAAAGCTGTAGCAGCAACAGCACGAGCTTGGTTAGCTACAGAGAGACCTTTAGAAACAGACTCTAAATGCCTGTCTGGTTCCACAGTCTGACAGCACTGTATCAGAGGATCTGCAGGTCAGAGAGTCTTAATCCTTGAGTTCTGTTCTAGTGTCCAGCTGCCGGAAATATATAAAAAGAGTGCAAGAAATAAGTAGCTAGAGGCTGCTGCACACACAGCATGTTGACACACAGACACCCTACTGTATACATCTGCACACAGGTCGCTGACTGGCCGTAACACACAGGAGGCATGTTCAGTTTGTGTGTGGTGAAAGAGCTCTTCTCTCCCACACACTAAGTGATTGTGTTGCCTTACATGTGTGCTGTTTTGTGACACTATATCAGCCTTTCTTTATGTTCCATCAGGGTTTCAGCAAACCCTTTCAGTTGACATGGCTGTTATCAATTGTCTTTAGGAGCCTTTGAGGACACATCGTTTGCTTCCCTTGCTGAGTTGGTGAGTGAGAACACACTGAAAGGGGTGAAGGAGATGGGCTTCGAGCACATGACTGAGATCCAGCACAAGAGTATGCGTCCCCTGCTGGAAGGAAGGTACGTCTGGATGAGTTGTAAAGTTAGTGATGCTGGGTTCCACATGTTTTAGCACTGACATCATTGGTTCCATCACAATTTTTGAAACGCCAGAAAGGGCCATGTTAAGTAACATTCGGCTGAAATCATGATTTTTTTTTGTGGATATTTCAACAGTGTTTGTTCTGCTAACTTTTAGGGATGTCCTGGCTGCAGCCAAGACAGGCAGTGGTAAAACCTTGGCCTTCCTCATCCCAGCTATAGAGCTCATCTACAAGCTCAAGTTCATGCCCCGGAATGGTAATGGAAGTTCTCCCCCATGTTTTCTTTATGTATCCTACTGCATCCTGTCATTTAAGCTTTGGAAATCTGTCTTCGTAGTAGGGGTGTTAGGAAATATCGATACACTTGAGCATTGGGATATTACGCTTTGCGATACTGTATTGATTCTCAAAAATAGTATTGATTTTTAACTAAAGGTTCCCATGACAAGTAGTGCTGTGTTGCTGGATGTTACAGGAACTGACAAATGCAGATCCCTGTTCTGGCTGCAGAAAAAAGCTAAATTGTTTTTTTGTGGGAGATTTTATGCATATGGTGGTGTGTTGCTTATTTTAAGGGTTTTTCTAAAATTATATATATTTTAAAATAATCACAATATATCACCTTGTTTACAGTATTTCGATGTATTGAATCGTAGCACCAGTATCGTCATACGCATCATATCGACAGACCAGTACAAGCTCTACTCTGTAACTACCTCCTCCTCTCCTCAGGTACTGGTGTAGTGATCCTTTCACCCACACGTGAGCTGGCAATGCAGACCTATGGTGTGCTGAAGGAGCTCATGACACACCATGTGCACACGTATGGTCTGATCATGGGGGGCAGCAATCGCTCAGCTGAGGCCCAGAAACTGGCCAACGGGGTCAACATCCTGGTGGCCACACCTGGTCGTCTGCTGGACCATCTCCAGGTGAGCTGGGGGCGGACCCGGATAGGGCTGCAACTAATGATTATTGTATTAATCAGATGTATCAGAAATATGTTTTCTACAGTATAAAAAGCTTTAAACCAAAAATTACTTGGAGCATTTATAAAGTGCACAACGTGTCCTTAACGTGTTAACAAAAGCATTAAATGTTTTTATGTTAAATCAGAGTTTCATAAAACATACCGTGCTAATGTAAAGCTCCAGTAAAAACATGACACTGCTGACAGTGAAGAGTAAATTGAAGTACGTCTAAACAATCATCACATTTACTCTTAACCTACTGTGCGTGCTCTGCACCATCCCCAGTAACTGGCATGTGTCACCACCTTTTTAACTTCCTTTGCTTACTGTGTTTAATATACACTGATCAGCCACAACATTAAATGGTGGTGGACAGGACCAGCATGGGGAAAAAATTCAAGCTGGCCGTGATTGACGCATGTCGGAGGACATTGCACCACAGCTGTCTGCTCGGGGCTGAGTAGCTGCAGGTCTTTCAGAGTGGCCGTGCAGACCCCGTTCACCACAGCTAGGTGCTAGTGTATCAGCATCATGCTACCCCGCCATAATGGATGTGTTTGCATATTTGACATGGGACAGCTTCCTTTCTGATTATAAAATACAATGCTCCCGAACTTCAGATGACTGGTCGTCCATTTTTCTCTACTGTAACCATGTTCAGTGCTATCCACTGCATCATCCATTTACATAAGTCATTGTGCTTTGTAGACCTGGTTCAGTATGGACACATTCATCACACACTGTTGTTCATGTGATGTGTTCCTACTGTAAATGTGTTGTATGTTTTTGCTGGTTTTAATAAAGAATATTCTAAAAATAACCGTTGTGTCTCTAGAACACCCCTGGGTTCATGTTCAAGAACCTGCAGTGTCTGATCATTGATGAGGCCGACCGCATCCTGGAGGTGGGCTTCGAGGAGGAACTGAAGCAGATCATCAAACTGCTGCCCAGTATGTGTCTGGTGCTGCCAAGCTCTCTTTGCTTTGTTACTACATTGTTGTTGTGTGGTTTGTATAGCCTTTGTTGGACTGTCCCTGTCTGTTAAATGCGTTCATCTCAGTGTTCACACCCTGTTTGTAACAGGATAAACATTTGTAGTCACCAATGCTCCTCCATTGCTCTTTGGACCAAACCATTCTATAGACACCAACCAAATTGTGTACTGTTTATGTAAAGTATAAACACATGAGCACTCTCATCTCTGACCCATGCTGCTCTCTATGAAGGGTCTTGACTGTGTTATGTATATGGCGTGTTAATGTTTGGGCCATTTTCTGCAGAGAGGAGACAGACCATGATGTTTTCAGCCACTCAGACCCGTAAGGTGGAAGACTTGGCTCGCTTCTCCCTGAAGAAAGAGCCTCTCTATGTCGGGGTAGACGACAACAAAGAGAAAGCTACTGTTGATGGCCTGGAGCAGGTACTTTGAGCTGCGTGCCTGTGTTATGGGCGTAAGCTTCCGAGGTCCTCAGCACACTAAACTTGACATGAAGTGAAATCTCCTGTGTCTCAGGGTTATGTGGTGTGCCCGTCAGAGAAGCGTTTCCTGTTGCTCTTCACCTTCCTGAAGAAGAACCGCAAGAAGAAGCTGATGGTCTTCTTCTCTTCCTGTATGTCTGTGAAATTCCACTATGAGCTCCTCAACTACATTGATCTGCCCGTCATGGCCATCCATGTAAGATGCACGTGGTATTCAGACGTCACAGTGTGATCTTTAGGCCTTGTTCTTGTTAGAAACGGTTTGTCGTGTTTTTCTCTCAGGGCAAGCAGAAGCAGACCAAACGTACCAGTACCTTCTTTCAGTTTTGCAACGCCGATTCTGGCATCCTGCTGTGCACAGATGTGGCAGCTCGAGGGCTGGACATCCCTGAGGTGGACTGGATCGTCCAGTATGACCCTCCAGATGACCCCAAGGTTTTTTAAGTTATTTTTAAAAATCACCAGTCAGTGAATTAAAACGCATCCCGAGCTCCTAAAGATTTTAATACTTGTGCTATTTGATAACTTGTCAAGGTCACTGAGGGTGTTGTAAGCTTTTCTTTCCATCTACAGGAGTACATTCACAGGGTGGGCAGAACAGCCCGAGGCATCAATGGAAGAGGCCACGCACTCCTCATCCTGCGACCGGAGGAACTCGGCTTCCTTCGCTTCCTCAAACAGGCCAAGGTAACCATGTCTGCTACTTTGGACTTTAGTGTTTAGATGCCATCCATTTTGTCCTGTTTATGCTCCAACAAAGTGCGTCGGTTACTTGTTTTTAAGAAATAGCTGATTTGTTTTACTCTTGGATGTTGTTCAGGTCCCGTTGAGTGAGTTTGAGTTTTCCTGGACTAAAATCTCTGATATTCAGTCACAGGTAAGAGACTTGGTCTGCTCAGTAATATGTAACTGATTCTGTAAATAGAAAAGATGTTTGAGATTCATGTGCCTGAAAGTAACATTAAAGACAGATGAATGGCTCTACTCTAACAAACTCTGCTGTGTCTCAGTTGGAGAAGCTGATTGAGAAGAACTACTACCTCCACAAGTCGGCTCAAGAGGCCTACAAGTCCTATGTGAGGGCCTACGACAGCCATTCGCTCAAACAGATCTACAGCGTCAACACCCTCAATCTCCCGATGGTGGCGCTCTCATTTGGCTTCAAAGTTCCTCCATATGTTGATCTGAGTATCCTTTGTTGTGGTTCTACACACGGTCACATTAAACACTGCAGACTGTGGTTTTGTTAATGTTGAATTTAAATGTCAGAGCAGGAATTTCACCTCAGCGACGCAGGCTGCGGTAAAAATAGGAAACACTGAGTTTACAGGTACAAATGAATAGTGCATGTTGTCATCATGTGGAGCGCCTGTCTGCAGCTCCTCTCAGGCCATCAGCAGGTTGGCAGGACAATTTGAAAACCATCCAAATAGGAACAAACTGTTTTTCTTAACCCAGCTCTCCCTCCTCAGACGTCCACAGTGGTAAAGGTGCAAAGTTACAGAAGCGAGGTGGCGGCGGTGGGTTTGGCTACCAGAAGTCCAAGAACGTGCAGAAATCCAGAATCTTTAAGCATGTCAACAAAGGAAAGAGCGACCGGAGACAGTTTTCTCGCTGAGCCTCGCAAAGTAATTCTCGGCCTGGACTGAGTGGAACCGCCCTTTATTGCATTCACTTCCTGCTTTGAACGGGGCGCCCGGCCCCCGTCTCCCTCAGACATGACTTCAGCCCAGTTTTTCAACAAAGTTGTGTGTAAGTATTTTGTAAATGTAAACAAATATGGTGTAGGTTTTGCAGAAGGCCAAGCTCCATGTGCCCCACTGTCAATGACCTGATCAACAAAGATTAAATTTGTATGACGTATGAAATGTACCAAGGATGCCTCGTTATGTTGACTTGTTGTAAATGGGAATTATAATGAAGATGCAAACTCTGAAGTGCTGATGTGCTCATTTTATTTATGCAAGTCAGGTATCATGACATGAATTTCAGTAGCTAAACACTCCTGCAGAGCTGAAGGAGTCCTGAACAACAACAACAACAAAACAAAGAACAGGGTTTGGGGAGGTTGTGCACACACTACAGCTCAGCACAGCCTGGGACCAATGAGTTGTTCCCTTTTAAACAATGAAAGCTGGCTATGAATTTGACTCTCAAAATGTAATTTGTTCTGAATTAAAGGGAGCTTTAAAGATTTTCATCACATGAGTGTTTGGTTGTGGTTAAAGACGTCAAATGAAAATGTGCCGTGTTGCTCTGCTTACCTGCAGCATGTGAAGGTGTGGTGAGGATTACTCCATTGTCCCAGCACTGACCTCAGCATTTTTAAAAAACAATCATAAAAACCCAGCATGGCTCCATAATCATACTCTCCATACACAGGATAAATTATAAAGTGCTGTTCTGGGTCAAGTGCCATCAGGTTTCATATTGGACCTATTACACTATCAGACTGAGCTTCACTGTAAAGATTCAGTAAATGTTTCACCATGACTTCAAGGACAGTGCTCTCCGTTCCCCTTTAGAGCCTCTAAGAAATGACAAAGGCTGAGCCCTAGGCATTTTAAAGAAATGAATTAGTCACACTAAATGTGTGTGTGACGTCAGTGTCTGAATCTCAAAGTTAGAAAACGTACAAATGGTAAAAAAAAAGCAGCTCTTCAGACTGAACACCCAGTTGTCCCTCTACATTACTGTACAACAAGTTAACAGCCAATTCCTAGTTTTACAGGATGGTTTTTCAGAAAAGGAAGACTAAACCCATGGAAACACTTGTTCCTTTGGCTCCAGTTGGCACTTGAGGTTGAACTGTCCATTCATGTAGTGCTACTTCTAGAAGGCCACGCATCGCTCTGCATGACTGCACGTTGCATCTTGCAGCTGGCACATTATATTTGCTGTGATTACAGCTTTTCTTCACATCTTCCTCCTTCCATGTTCCCATAATGCATCACACGTACGTCACTGCCCTTGATCTGTGAGGTGAGAATATACATTTGTTAGAAACCACAAGAGGGAGAGCAACACCCAAGGACTTTTTTCTGGTGGAATACAAAGTCTAGAAAGGCAAATCAGTTAGTTCCAACAATGGTTTGGAACAGCTTTCTCCAGAACACATTAACCAGCCGAGGCTGTTGCTCTGTCACTTTAGCAGATGGCCATTTTAGCTGCTGTTTAACTTGCAGGTGGTCATCTCCTCTTTCTCCATTAGTCCAGTTCATCATTTACCTGCTTGTGCTCTGCAGCAACAAGGCTTCTTACAAATACTAACCCTCGTCCACTGGCTGGCCTTTATTTTCAGGTTTGATGTATTCAGTACCTGACACACTACTGCTTTTATACCATCATATGCTAACGCTGCCTTACAGTCACCTCTTAAACATTGTCTAGGCTTAAGTTAAACACCAGACAGTGACCTCTGGTGGCATTTCGATGACTTTGGAGGACCCATTAATGAAGTTTCAAGCCATCCTGATGTTTAAACTGTAGCT